TCTTAATGAGTTTGAAAACCGTGGCACAGAACAGCGCTTCCGGTAAAAGATAAATGCGTGGTTAGGGTAAGTTAGTATGTGATGACGTCCCAAAAGGAGTGGCTGCGTCATTAAATTCTCATTGTGTACTGCTCAATTATAATGTCGCACCTACGCGGCTTTTAGAACATGATGATTATTCAATAAACACTTACTTCAGTTTTTACGACATTTCAGTCACGCTATTTCAAACCTTCTTCCCTACAGGCTTGCGCAAGTGGAACAAAATCACTCGCCTCCACTCAAGTCTGCGGCGTATCCGAGAAAGCCGTGGCAAAAATAGTGCCTTGTGCAGGGGGTGCTGTCAGAGCGTGAAGGAAGTTGTTCAATTGATATGTGGGGTATAACGTCCCAAAATCACCATATGATTATGAGAGACGCCGTAATGGAGGGCTCTAATAATTTCGACCACCGGGGGTTCATTAACGTGCACCCAAATCTGAGCACACGGGCCTACAACATTTCCGCCTCCATTGGAAATGCAGCCGCCCCAGGCGGGATTTGAACCCGCGACCTGCAGGTAAGCAGCCGAGTACCTTGGCAACTAGACCGCCGCAGCGGGACGTGCGAAGGGAGTGGAGGAGCAAGCGCATGCACACAGGAGAGAGGGACTGCTTTGCTAGATCAAATTCCTTTAGAATGGTCGGTTCACTTAATAAAATTTGAAGATTTATTGGACACATTTCGAGCGGGGATTCTGCTCACAGTACATAAAATTCAGATGTAGTCCAAGGGGTTGCGATAATTGCCACCTCAGTTTTGAGTACCGTCCTCTCCTTACGCGGATCTTTCATGGCTGCTTTAAAACTCTAGGATTAGTTAGTATCTATGCGTTTGCCTATTATCCATAAAATTCATTGGTAACATAAAGCTACTCCCACATTTTCAGCATCCGGAGAATTATATTACTAAGAAAAACCAAAGTGTTCACCACACATTTACGCCTCTGACGATATTCTGAATTGCAAGCCGTAGATACATGATTTTTCATCTCACTCCCGTTGATACAAGTGATGAGATAATGTTGCTACCTTACCATATGCTGCTAGTTGTTTTCCTAGGATTCTTCTCTATCCAGCAAGCCACAAAGGGATTGGTCGTAACGTAGGAATGGTAGGAAATATTCAATGGTATCTTGCGCTTCGATGTCAAGACGGTATTAGTAGCCAAAGTGTTCACAATGTTCCTAATACAAGCATGGATGATGTAAAAAGGGCATTGAAAAATATGCCCAACATTGTTCTATGCTGATACAATTTGTAGGACAAATGCAGACACTCGCTGCCCAAATAATACTGGACATTAGTGAAATATCAGTTAGGGTGAGCATGGGAACGCCTTGACATTAAGTGGCCACCATGTAAAAAGAGGTTACATTGAAACTGAGAACAATAGATAAAGACCGACGAATATCGTATCATTTTTTTTTTGCTAGCACCGTAGCTGTGTGAAAGACAGAGTCATCACAGCTGTGTGCATTAAAGATAAAAACATAACGAGAGAGTGTCTTAAAATGTAATCTTGATAAGCCTCTACTACTTCGCAGACTCTCATCCAAGAATATGTAAAGAAAATCGAAGAATGATGACCGTACCAGGGAAATAGGGCCAACAAAACTTAGAATGTGTGCGTTGGATGTACTCTTTTTTAGGGGCGAAGCTCCTTAGGGCGTGGGCTGTGCGTCCCCTGTATGTAGCCACCTCTAGTTTAGTTCTTGCAGTGTTCACTAGATGGCAGTACCGTCTCCTCTATCTAGCCACCTCTCGTTTAGTTCTTGTAGTGTGCACTAGATGGTGGTACTTGTAGCTGATGATGAAAAGATGCAAGATGTTATAAACTAGAAAGCGGTACTTGTAGTTGATGAAAGACGCGAGATCTTATAAAATAGGAATGATGTCACATATGGCGCGTGTCATTGGTTGAAGGCAATCGTTCGATTTAGTGCGGCGACGTACGCTAGGGGGAGCGATGTAATAAAATCGAGTGGGCAAAATGTACAGAGGATTCATGGTTTACCAGGTTTACCTCCGGAGCTTCGCCCACTCATCATCATTCACTTCGTGGATATGGCGGCACTTTTTCATTTATGTATTGATCTCTTCTCCTATTATTTAATAATTTCTCTCTCTCTCTCTTATTTCGTTCATTCTTGTTTCTCCCGTTCTTTGTTCCTCTCCTTCCTTGCTTCTTTCTTTTTATCGCATAGCGTTATTTGACGTTTTCTTTGCTTCCTCTATATCGTACAAAAAATCCAAAGAAGCAACGATTATATAACTACACAAGTTATTCGAGCAGTCGGCGTTAGGTGACGTCAGTAACTTGCTCCACGAAAAACTGTCAGCTTGCCTACGGCACCAATAGACATGTTGTCAGGCTTTTCAGCTGTAAAAGCTCTTTCGCGAGATGCCATCGTCACACGGTGCGAAATGTATCGGCTGCATTATTAAATAGTTAACGACAGATTTTAAGAGCAAAACCACTTTATTGAGCTAGCACATTGTACAATAAGAACTTAAATATGGCTGATTGCGTATGTCAAGAAATAGGAGAATAAAGTGTAAGCCTGAGAGATCCAACAGCTCGCGCTTGGTGGGCCGAAATGAAAGGTTGCCTGACATCAACGCGTTTTTCATATGAGTCGTGAAACTTCGTATTCTATTCCATTCCACCGACAAACAAATCTTTATTTGGCAGTTTATGGTGCTGAAATGCTGGAGATTTCTCCAGGACGAGCATAGAACTCGTACAAATACTGACGCACTTTTTGTACTCCGAGCTCATGTGTGCGTTAAGTTGTCGATGACGATAGTTATAGCTCGAGAACAAAACGACGACACAGAGACAAGAAGGACACGAAAGACACGAGCGCCAACTTCCAACTGAGTTTATTGCGCAGAGCACGAAAATATATAAGGACACAGTAACCATGTGATAAAAGCCATATGGCACAAGGAGCAGAACATGAGTAAGAAAAACGAAAACAAACAACACAAAAACAAAGGCACTGAAAAACAGCAATGAAAAATCCAGAAGAAAACAAAACAGAAAGGTAAAGATAATATAACTACCTGCCCGCACCGAAACCAGGCAGGTAGTTATATTATCTTTACCTTTCTGTTTCGTTTTCTTCTAGATTTTTCTTTGATGTTTTTCGGTGCTTTTGTTTTTGTGTTGTTTGTTTTTGTTTTTCTTACTCATGTTCTGCTCTTTGTGCCATATGGTTTTTATCACATGGTTACTGTCTCCTCTATATATTTTCGTGCTCTGCGCAATAAACTCAGTTGGAAGTTAGCACTCATGTCTTTCGTGTCCTTCTCGTCTCTGTGTCGTCGTTTTGTTCTCGCGCTATAACTATCGTCATGCCATACCAACTAGCCCAAGCTGCCACACTTCCGTTTAGTTTTGTTTTATTGTCGTTAGGCGTTTCTGTGATGGCGTGGAGAATGTTGAAAATTGTGTAGGCGACGAAAAGTGGTGTATTATCATTGAGGGCAGGTTCGTGTGTTCGAATATCGATGAGGTCGACGAGAGGCTTCCTCATGGTGACGGGCATTGCTTCTTTTCTTAACAAAAGCTTTCTGAACGAAGTGTTTGCAGTCCACCCCTTCCCCACTTAACCTCGATGAACACGGGATACTGACGATGTAGAGCCGCATCGAGTGGCTCAGGCATTCAAGTGCAACTTTGCGAGAACGCACAATCCCTTCTTTCTGAGAAAAAGGAACTTTCTACTGCCCCCGGTTTAGCCTCGATCAAGCCTACCAGTTTGCATGATATTTAACAAAATCTTTTCAGTCTCTCAAGATTGTAGGGCCACGTGAAAACGACATTGAAATTTAACCAGCTGAATCATTCTGGAAAGTAATAAAGATGAATGTCTCATGAAGTGTCCTGGTCTCCCTTTGCGGAATGGACAAACCTCAACGTGTAGGCGCACATGCCAGCCGAAAAGCATCAACATCTACACAACTTAGTCAATCCGACACTTTTTTCTTTTAAATTAAAAGCAAAATAAAATATCGCATCTAATCTGTTGGGAGTAAATTGTGCTAGAGTGCGTCGCCTGTCGATTTCTAAACCCTTTAAATTTTTAGGACTTATGTTTCCTAATAGCTACAGTTTACTCAGCTACAGTGTTTAGCACAAGGCTGGTCCGTTTTTATTATTTACAGTTTAGGTCAACGATTTACTTGTGCTCTAGACACATAGGTGCATGATGTCTCACCTTTGCTGCTGTCTATTGGACGCTAAAAATCTGAAGCTAAATTACGTTACCTTGCACAAGAGCAAATTTTCTTTACATGCTTTTTCTTAAGTCGTCGTTTAGGAAACCTCAACCTAATGACCATGGTGGTGAACATACTGCAAAAGTTGGCTTAGCCATAGCGACTCTTTGAACTTTGTTGTAGTGCAGCAATATAATGGGCACACAAAAGAAAAACGTTTAACAACTTACGGCGTTAGCCTGCAGCAATGTGCGTTACAACTTCGCACCGCGTTTCTCAACACGGTTGTTTTCTCCGTGTCTCTGTCTGGCCCAGCTCAAGTACGAGATTTACGATATACCCTACAGTTAACCAGCCTACAGAGTCCCCAATATTTTACGAGATTCAGACCAACATGTGAGTCTAAGCGAGTCCAGGTAAGAACACGTTACTTAATCTTGGGTTGGAATGAGTTAAGATTGGCAATAATTTAAAATTCAAGCATGACCGTGTGCTACTAATCGTGTTATACTCACATAAGGGCTCACTTGTTACTGTAAGTTCATTAGATGAAGAAAATTTGTTTTAGTGAATTTTTCAAAACTGTTACTGAGTTATTCTTCTACCGCGCTAAATATAGAAGCCCTTTTATTGCAAAGAAACCAAAATAAGTGGAACTCAGGGTAACCTGAGGAGGAGTGAACCCAAAACGCAGTATTATATTTCAAAGTGAGCCTGGGAAAAATTCACCTAATTTCACGGTATATGCCTGCACCAAAACTTGGTGACGATCATTCTCGATTGAGCTCTACTAGGTGGAGGCAGCTGAATTATGGCGATACACTTCTCAGTCATCTGCAAAATAGAACGAAAACAAAATGTATAGCGGTCAAAAAAAGTAAAACAGTTATTGACTGTATATTAAACCCAGAAAGTTATTACACGTGACACGGCGCATTTTTTTTTATTTTGCTGGATATCCTACAATGCATCTCACTTAAATTTACAGGGTTCGTTCTTTATAAAAAGTTATATATGTCGGCGCCACGGGAGGAACACAGCAGCGAGGTTCGTGCACAAAACGCCTTGTACATGTGGCACGTTCGGTGAGATAGCCAATTCCTCAAACCAAAGAATGTGGCTTGATGGTAGACTTGACGACTAAAGAGCGGAGAATGTGTACTTCCATAGCATTGACAACATCGAGGTGTGACATTCAGCACTTCACAGTGAAATGAACGCTGATGCGCTCATTCAGTAACTGACCTTCCATACCAAGCTGGCCACCGTCGTGTTCACCTTCACAAATTTGAATGCTTTGCACTATTTATTTATTGTTCTTCATCTCTCATCGCGTGTAAACTGTACTCCCCCATGGATCTAATCATGACGCATTGGAAAGCCCATGTATCTGCAATATTTACTTTTACTTTTTTACTTATGGCACCAGGGAAGTTTACGCCGCAAGTTGGCAGTCGAGTGTTCAAAGAAAAAGCCTCAACAATTATAACATCGTCACACGTGGCATAGCAGTGTGCTTTCTAAAGAGAAGAAAAAATAGAAGAGAAGAGAAACTGAGAAGAATAGAAGAAATGAGTAACGCGAAATGAAAATTCCTGGCGTGCCAGCAATTAAAACTCGGGCACACATGGTGCAAAGTTCGGGCGTCGTACCACTGAGGTGTCCAGGCACGCGAGCACGAATAGAGTTTATGGAGACTATACTGTCACGTTGCCAGCTATTTGTCATGACATTCTCGGGGAAGTCGAGCTCCTCCAACAGAGTCACAACGTGGGAAGAGCAAGACACAAGACTTCCTTGCGATGAGAATAGACAAAGCTATATTCCACACACAAGAACGCAAGAGTAGAGTACAGTAGAACCTTGAACACTGGCACACACTTATGCTGGCGGATCGTCACACACAAGTAAAGTTATTGGAAGATGTGGCGCACACCTACGCTGGGGGATAGGTCAAGAACCGAATAGTTCTTTTTTTCCCGCTGCGAAACTTTTGATACGAAGTAGCCGAGGCAATATGCACCTCAACCTCTCCACAGCAAAACAGTTAAAAAAACCAGAACAGAACAAGTAGTTTTCATGAAAGACTTCTTTACTAACAGTTACGATTGATCTTTGACGAGAAAGAGAAAAGAAAGATGAAAACCGGGTACTTTCATTTTATTTGATTTTTTCAATAAATGACTCATACCCACTGAGGAGGGCTGACCAAGAAAGCGTAGTACAATTTATTTTTCCCATGGGCTTTGAAACAATGTCTATGAATGAATTAAAATACAAAGATCGTTACAATAGTTGCAGAGAGAGAGAGAGAGAGAGAGGAAGAAAAGAACAAAATATGAAGTTCTCAGATTTCTACATGACCAGAAAGCTGCAGTTTCTTCACCCAATCATTCAGAGTCTGGGTGTTAAACCACTTATTATTGTTACGCAACAGTGTTCACTAGAATGGAGATTTACAGCGGGATAGGTTCGGTAGCCTGAACGAAATTTGCACATCGCATTGAATGCGTTTCTGTGGCGGTGTTCCAAAACAAAGGCAGCAAAGCTTAGTACAGTTTCCACCGTCAACCTTAAAACCTATCTTCGTGGTGCGATTAACTGAAAGCAATTCTTCAGACACCCCAATATCATGTTCTTCAGAAAGCCAGAAACTGCTGCTTGTGCTTATCACTTCATACTCCTTGTGTCGCCTAGCCGGTTAATAATCGTGTCAATATCTATACAGTGCTATAATTGAGACAATGAGAAAAGAATATAGAGAAAGGGAAGGATGGCTAGTGAATAATAGACTCAGATAAACAGGCAGAAAAATCAACAGAGGCAGAGTTATAAAAAGAGAAACACGCATTTACATACGCAAGTTACTCTTCAATGCAACAAGGTGGAAAATAGAAGTGAACGAAAGGAGGATGTACAGAAGAAGGGAAAGGCCACCACGTTTGCTGTTTTCACAGTCTTCACAATAGTAGATATCTCTCGCACTTTTTTTAATGCGAACCATTTCTTAGCGTGCTTCGGCAACTTTGAGCGTATCTATCTATCTATCTATCTATCTATCTATCTATCTATCTATCTATCTATCTATCTATCTATCTATCTATCTATCTATCTATCTATCTATCTATCTATCTATCTAGCCGCCGAATACTTTTAGCTCTCCTGGCCGTTTGCGTAATGGTATCGATACCAAACTTGGTATGGTATAACATGACTGCTTGACGAGCATATTTGACTAGTCATGTGTGTTATTAATGTCATAATTCACATTTCAGTCTTGCTGCACTTGTGGTGGTTTCGTTCACATGACATGTCGCAAAACTGGTATGGTATGACATGATTGCCTGGCAAACACAAGCGACATACCTAAAGATGAAAATTATGACATGCGTGTCACGTAACACATGATTGACACGCTCATGATGCACTCACGGCCATTTCACTAGCGTCACAATTACAAAATTTGGTATTACAAGACGTGAATAGATGAAGACGGTATGATACTGGTGCAAACATGATAAATATGAGAGGCGTGACATGTAACAACATGACTACATGCTACGCTCATGAGACACTGGCGGTCGTTTCACTAGCTTGACATGTACCAAAGTCGGTATTACGCGACGCGAACGAACAACATAGGTAAATGACATATCCAAACATAATATCACGACATGCGTGTCATGTAACAAGACTATATGCCACAGTCATGATGCGCTGGCAACTGTTTCGCTAGCTTCACATATGCGAAATTTGGTATTACGTGACGTCAATGAATGACGAAGGCATGTGACTGGTGCAAACCTGATAATAATGAGATGCGTGTCATGTTACAACACGACAACATGTCACAGTCGAGGCGCCAATACATTTCGACTTAACGCGGTGCGCGTGTGCGTTGGTGTTTTTTTTTTTGTCGTGTCACACCCGCGCGGCCACGCCAGGCGCCAGTCCTGCCTTATACTCGCAGGCGCGCGCCACGCTGCGTTATCTTGACGCATACGCGTTTCAGCGTGTCCAGCGTCCCTCCGTCATGAAAAGAGGCGGACGCAGTGCTCTCTGGGTCATAGAGTTTCCGGCAATACTTACTAGAGGAAACTCTGGCGCTAGTGTCTATGGGAGTTGCAACACACGGCTCTTCAGCGAGCATGTGAATGATGGGTAGTACACACATTTGTCTAATTTTCGTACTTCTGGCCTGCTTCTGGCTCCGTGTGTGTTCATGTGGCTTGGAGCAGTTTTTTCACGAAAACATAAATTAGCAAATGTTCACTGTTTGCGCTTCACAACCTTATTCTTTTAAGCTTACTATTTCGAATCAAGTCCCTAAGTTCAAAAGGGTTCCTTCTTTCTTTCAAAACAAAACCGTAACCAGTAATAAACAAAGCCGCAAGTACGATTCGCCGCCCGCAAGTACGAAGACTAGGCAAACGTGTGTACTGCCCATCATTCCCATGGTCGCTGAATGATCGCAGAACCAGAGTGGCCTCTAGTTAATTTTGGGAATTTCTATGCTCTGGGTAACGTATCGGCGCAAAATGCAGCATGTAGCATTTCGCGCCGGTTGCCATCGGGCCGCGCCGATAGACGCTGGTCGCGCTTGGGGTTAGACTATAAAGTTCTCGCGTTTTGCTAACCTATAGCGTCACTGTGCCCAGCGTGCGTGCGCGTTAACGTCACGTTAGAGTACATTGGGCCCTTCTTATTACACTCGCGGCTGTTTCGCTAGCTCAACATATACCAAATTTGGTGTTACGTGACGTCCATGCAAGACGAAGATATATGACTTGTGTACACATGTTAATTACGACATGCGTGTCGTGAAAGAATATGACAACATGCCACCTTTACAGCGTGCTCGCGGCCGTTTCGCTATCTTCACATGTACTCAATTTGGCATCTCGTGACGTGAATAGATGACGAAGGTTAACTACAAATTCAAACGTGATAATCATGACACAGAAGTCTTCTACGGCATAATTTATCTTCACTTCATAACGTTGTGGTGATTTTAAAGTGACATATCAACCTTCCTCATTCGGGCTTCGCATATCACCAATTCTCTCTGTGCGTGGGCTATGCCATTTTTTTCTCTTTGTGAGGAGACTTCACTTGAGGGAACAATGTGCTAGTGTGAGCCTAAAGCACCAAACTTACGCTCCTAACCATCAATATGGCTGCACTTCTTCGCCAAAATTTATTGTTCGGATGAAAGTTTGCATAGCCGCATAGGCTTTATCAATCTCCCTGTATCAAATTCTGAACATCATTAAAATTTTTTTAAGCGAACTTCGGTTACATTGAGCGTGTCTATCTATCTATCTATCTATCTATCTACCTATCTTTCTATCTATCTATCTATCTATCTATCTATCTATCTATCTATCTATCTATCTATCTAGCCAATTACGACCGAGCATAAGTGAATAGTCTTATGCAAATCAGGACATGTATGTCATGAATGTCATGATTTACATTTCATGATCTTGGTGCTCTTGCGGTGGTTTCTCACATTTATGTTGCGAAACTGGCATGGTACGACATGACTGCATAACAAACACAAGTCACCACCCCTAACGTGAAAATCATGACATGCATGTCATGATTTGCATGTTATGACTAGTCATGACTACACGTCACGCTCATGGTGCGCTAGCGACCGTTTCGCAAGCTTCGCATCTACCAAATTCGGTTTTACGGGACGTGAATGGATACGAATGTATGAGACTGGTGCAAACATGATAATCATGAGATTCGTGTCATGTATGAACATGACTACACGCAACACTCATGATGCATTCGTGGCCGTTTCGCTAGCTGCACATGTACCAATACGTGACGCGAACGGACGACATGAAAAAAGGACAATTCCAAACATAATAATCATGACATGCTTGTGATATTACAACATGACTACATGCCACCCTCACGATGTACTGTAGCAGTTTCGTTAGCTTTACATATTTCAAATTTGGTATTACGTCACGTGAGTTGATGATGAAGGTGTGTGACTGGTGCAAACATGATAATCATGAGATGCGTGTCATGTAACAACATGACTAATTGCCACACTAGAGGCACCAATACACTTTTGACGTAACCCGGCGCGCGGGCGCGCCGGCGTTTGTTTCGACACGTCACGCCGGCGATACCTCTCCAGGCGGCGATCTGCCTGCTGCATACTTGCAGGCGTGCGCCACGGTGCGTTGCGTTGACGCATGCGCGTTTGAGCACGCCCGGCGTCCCTTCCTCACGAAGAGAGGCAGACGCAGTGCTGTCTGAAAACTTAGTGAGTGAGAACATTATTTTTGTTCAAAAGCGGCAGAGGCTGGACGGGACCGGAGGCCCCGCGAGCTTAGCCAGGTGGCTCCACCCAGGATGGTGCCGGAAGGTGGAGTCTATCGGCGATGTCCCGGGCCCTCTGGACACCTAGAAGTTGGTTGTCGAACTCCATGCTATAGTAGATATCTACTATTGTGAAGACTGTGTAGATATTGTAAGATGGCGTCGAGAACACTCAAGAATCTTCTTTATTGACTCGAGTATGTGCCCCACAACCTAAACTTAACTGGTGATGATGATTATGTACAGATAAAAAGATGGGACGCATAAATAATGCTCACAATATCTACTATTGTAGATATCTACACTTCCATATCACTACCAGACCAAACCTCATTCTACCAGACCAAACCAGAACTACCAGACCAAACCTCCTTCTAGGAGGTTTGGTCTGGTAGTTCTGACCCCGAGTTAAAGCTTTGGTTGTGCCCTGCTTTGGGCACAACCAAAGCGTGTGTTCGAGTTTACAGTGCTAGTGATGGCAGAGCAGGCAGTGGGGTGACAAATCCGTGTCGAGTCTGTGCAGTATAGTTGGTGTGATGTACGTTTGCATCTGTAGTTGCTGAAGTGTAACTGCTTGTCCTTTATTCAATTTAGGGTGTGGAAGAGGGAAACCTCTGCGCCCTAGTTTATGAGCTGTGGTGATCACATGAAATGTAAGCAATGGATTCTTGAAGTGGATACATCCCCGTTCGCTACCCCTCTGAGGAGGCCGCTCACCGCCGCGTATAGCTAGTTCGCGTGCTAGCTTGTGACCTCTCTCGTTCTAATTGCCAGTCGGGTAAGACGAGAGGTTACCCATATGGGCCGGGAACCATGCAATATGTGTCAGGGGAACCTGCACTTCATTTTCCTGAGTAGGTACCTTATTCGTGATGTGAGCAGCCGTAGTAGAGACGAAGCCGGATGAGATTGCCCGGATAGCTGTTTTTGAGCCCGAAAAGATGACGAAATCCCTTCTTCGTTCGTGAAGAGCGACCTCGATTGCGAGTTCCTCGGCTTTATGAGTGAATCTTGTGAAAACGGTGGCAGCATTTAGTAGGCATCCTTTCTCATTACCTACAGTGACGGCATACGCATCCTTCTTCCAGTATTGGGCTGCATCGACAAAGAGGTCAGACGAGATTGAGCACCTGATCTTCCTCATGATGGCCTCGGCTCTTGCTCGTCGGCGCCCTTCATTGTGTACCGGATGAATGTTCCTGGGAACCGGGTCGACACATACGGTGCCTGTTATCTCAGCAGATATACTTTGTTTTTCTGGTGCCATAAAGAGGGGTTGTAGCCCGGTTTTTTCTGAGAGGATCCCGGTGCCTGCTTTGGTAAGTGACAATCGGCATAGCTGCGCTGTTCGTTGAGCTTCAAAGAGCTCCGTTGCTTTATTATGCAGTCCGAGCTGTAAAAGCCGATCCGTGTTTGTGCTTTTCGAAAGATTTAGGACCCATTTAAGCGCCGTCCTGTTAAGGGCGTCAATCTTATTAGGTTCCTTCTTCGTCAGTTTTAGTAAAGGCGCGGCGTAAATATTGTGGCTGAGGAGGAACGCATGGAAGGCTTTGATGAGATTATCTTCCTTCAGCCCCTCTCTCTTCTTGGCAACTCTGGAGATGACCCTACTGAAGCTGTGAGCGCTCTTCTCGAGACGTCTCTGTGCCTCGGTTTTGTTGTTGCGGTACTTTCTAAGTGTCCTGCCTAGTAGCTTAACAGATTCACAGATGTGAATTAGTCTTCTACTTCTTGATCGCAGACTAAGAATCTAAAGACCATAAATCTCCAGCCCCCACCTCCGAAAACGCTCGTGAAAAAGGAGTTGTGACTTATCAGGAGATAGCTCCATCCCCGTGCTCGTCAGAAAATCCTACGTGACATCGAGTGCTCGTTGCAAATTGCCCTCCAGATTCCCAAGAGGGCCCTCCGAGGACCATATGGTTATGTCATCCACGTATATTGCATGTCCAATGCCCGGAATATCGGCGAGCCGCTGACACAGACTGTTGCAAAGTTGAATAAAAGTGGGGACAACACTGTTCCTTGCGGTGTACCAACGTTACTCAGTGTGTAGTTTTTGCTATTGATTGGGCCAATGCTGATTGTAGCTTTCCGATCTGCCAAAAAAAGACCTGACAAAGTTGTAAAATTTTTCACCGAGGCTCAACTTGGAAATTTTAATAAAAATGTGCTCATGCTTCAGTGTGTCGATGGCCTTGCTCAGATCCTTTGGATCCTTCAATATCCTTTGGATGACTAGAGACGTGTAACGAGTACGGTCCTCTTGATGAGAAGTATAGCGTCTTTTGTAGTCAGGAACTTTCAGAAGCCCACCATATTGTGGTAAATAGACTTTCATCCACAATGCGTCCGCTAATTCGATTATAAATGGCATGTTTCGCCAATTTCCTAAGGTATGATGTAAATGATATCGGGCGCAAGTTTTCTGGTCCCAGGGGCTTTCCCGGTTTGGGTATGAGTACGACCATAGCCATTCTCCTCTCCTCTGGTACATCGCCAATGGACCATACTTGATTTATCTTTTCTGTAAGGACTTCTATCACTGCGTTGTCAAGGTTTCTAAGAAGCTTGTTTGAGATTCCGTCTGGGCCGGGCACCAACCGTCCGTTAAGGTCCCACTAAGCGTGAACGATCTCCGCAACTTAAAAGGCCTATCCAGTGCTGACTGTGGGGTTCCTTGATTTTTAGATGTGGGGATGTCCCACGGAATAGATTTGCCTTCAAGTGGTAAGTATATGTCCGCTAATTTGTCAGCAAGGGTTCGCCGATCGATATTTGGGGTTTAACGTCCCAAAACCACTATATGATTATGAGAGACGCCGTAGTGGAGGGCTCCGGAAATTTCGACCACCTGGGGTTCTTTAACGTGCACCCAAATCTGAGCACACGGGCCTACAACATTTCCGCCTCCATCGGAAATGCAGCCGCCGCAGCCGGGATTTGAACCCGCGACCTGCGGGTCAGCAGCCGAGTACCTTAGCCACTAGACCACCACGGCGGGGCAGCAAGGGTTCGTCGTCTACACGAACCCTTGGGAAGGCTGCTGCCTAGATAAAGCTCGTTAATTCCACGGGTGCGAAAGGCAGCATGTAGCATTTTGCACTGGTTGTTGCCGCGCCGCGCTGACGGACGCTGGTCACGCTGGCGTACGCTGGTCGCGCCGGTCGCGCCTTCTATTCCTTTTGCTAGCGCACCGTCGCTTTGCCCAGCGTGCGCACTCTTAAACGTTAGGCCGGAGTATATAGGACCTTTAGGATGCGCTTGTGTCCATTTTTCTAGCTCCGCATATATCAAATTTGGTGTTACGATACGTCAATGATTGAAGAAGGTACATGACTGGTGCAAGCATGATAACCATGACATGCTTGCCATGCAAGAACATGACAACAGTCTGCTTTTGTGAAAGGGTATGTCGTTGAGCTAGCATGCAATGCTTCGTTATCTTGCAATCCCATACAAGTCTTGTTCGTCATATGGAGATGTCTGTTTACTGAAACTTGTGGTATATATAAATCCAGCCACAGGGGGACGAGAAAAGAGTCACAGGGGAACACAAATACAGTTTACGCGACCTCTGTGTCCAGATTTGACATGGTGGTCTTTCACTCTGTTTCTTATACGTCGAAGTAATAGCTAATTTTATTATATAATAATTGAAACGAAACAGCTACGAAAGCTCTAAAATAGGAGTAAGATGTTTTAAAAATGTTATTCTGGGCTCAGAAAAAGAGACAACAAAACAATAAATGAAAACAATAATACTGTGAAGCATTCTTCATCGAGGCATAGTAGTATTATCACTCTTTTAGGAAAAATCAGGCATTGTAGCTTTAGTGCTCAAGCTTAAGCAAACAAAGACGTTCATTCTTGCGTCTTTTAGCAACATGCAAATATGCAAGCAACAAAGACCGAAATAGGAAATCTCACATTCATTCTTTCAAGTTAACGTGCTTGAAGTGTATTTTAACGTACCCTATTTTCGACGTAGACAAGGAATCCAATATTGTACATCATTCCTTCCGTATACTGTGTGGAGAGAAAGAGTCAATAAAAGAAACAACACATGCGAGTGTTTTCAAGATGTTCCAGTTCAGCAAGTAACAGGTGCTCGGCCTAAACAGGTAATGAATATCTAAGCAATGCACAGCAAAATGAACAACAAAAAGCAGTTGACCAAGGGCTTTTTTTTAACACAACGTAGTGAAGCCAATTGGTCGCGGAACAAAAAGCTGATCGCAATGTTCCCAATGCGCCCCATGGCTTCTTTTCTGCAATGAATTGCAACGGTAAACAAGGCTTGCATATAAAGCTCTTTTTCTTAGTTCACTTCCGCTTTTTTAGTTCTCTTTTTCACACTATATTAAATTGTAAACTACCATTATTCTTGAAAAGCCGAATAATAGCAATGTCTGGGGTGTTTATCCCCGTTAGGAAGGGCTAGAAAAATCAATCACAGATACAAAGCTTATGAGAAAACTTTCGGCTCGCGGCGGCCACACCTGTGGTCTGCTGGGTCAAACTGGAGGGACAAGGACGCGTGGCCTCTCAACAAAGGGAGCACCTAGGCAATTTTTCGCGCCATATAAAGCTGCCATACAGCGTGACGAAGAATGTTTATGACCGAAAATAGTAATGAAGGATCATGCATGCAGCAAGCATCATAAGAGCTTAGCTTTTTTTTGCCGGTAGGAGTGCATTCACGCGTTATTTATTCCATAAAAAAATTATCCCACAGTTGCTACATTGTTCAGTGCGCATACAGAAGAAATTTCCACATGCGCACTTTTTTCTCAGTGACATTTTGCTAATTACGTGAGCATATTTAGGGATATATGAAGACATGCATATTTATTATTAGCAAAAAATTTAGTAGTTGCTACTAAATTATTCTAGCAAAAAGATGATCAAAGTGTGCTTCACGTAACACCATCCCTCTCCTTCGAATCGCGCTGCGTGATAGATTGAATACCCTGCATATACTAGTGATCCAAGGTGTGGGCTTTTTCTAAAAAGGAAAACCTCATGCATGACGAAGATTTTAGGTTTACACGCTTCGAAAACATACCTTCCATCTGGCTTGCGTTACGCGAAAAGTCATGCCTCGTAGCCTATGACCCTTTCGTTCCACGTAGGCGAACTCTGCTAAATGACGGTACATAACTGGGTTCGGAGTTCGGTCTTCTATCCATCCTCCAACTTCGAAGCTTTCTTTACAAAAGCTCACCAGCAGTCCAGCGATCAGCAGTGAACTGTTAACTGCAACCATACCCTCCTTTTCGAAACCTGCAGTCACAATAGTAATAATCTTCAGACATACACATCCCGAAGTGTCTACAACAGAAAATATGGCTAAACGTAAACAGTCAAGCCATGCCATATCAAACTCAGCTAAATCAAGTTATCCTTTACATGAACACTTTTTGAACATGGCGATGCTTTCACGTCAATGCATAGAAAAATCTTCAGTTACATCGAACAACAGACTGAGAGAGCATTTTATATATCGAACGTGAGGCTGCGCGAGAATCCCCAGCAAATTGGCTTGCCATCTTAAGAACACCATTTATCCTCATGGCAAAAAAAAATTTCAATTAATACGGAGGGCAAGCGGTGTGATTATTAGAGTACCACGAAGTACTATCATCTCGCGTCATCATCTCTTTTCTTCCCTAAGGCCTCGTCATCACGCCCATCGGCCCATCATGTGGGGTAACCTTTCGCTTCTTACTGCTTGTCTTAACGTGGCAAACACGGTAAAGAATAATAATCTTGTGATACTTCGCAAAGCTGGCAATTTCTATACACGCAAATCTGGTTGGAATAATCTTTGAGTTGCCACTGCGTGCAGTATTCATCGAAACAAGGTCAAACACTTGTTAATACTTACTGTACAGCATCTACCAAAACACGACTGCGATACTACTACAGAAAATCACAGCCTTGCCACAAAGGTGGACGAGAGAGCAACAAATTGGCTGGTCACACGCTGAATGGCAAGCACATCGAACCATGCCCCACGTTTCTCACGCACAAATAACGCATGAAACGTGCTGGCAGGTACAGATGAACGCAAATAGGCATCAGAGTTGTTACTTCGCTGTACCTGAAAATTGAGCTCTTTTCACAAGCCAAGACTATGCAACAATTGCAGTTACCTTGGTGTGCCTGGTAACTACAACAGAATCGTTCCGGTGAAAGCCAAACGCCAGCCAAGACGTACGATCCTCCCGACCACGACATAAAGGCGCGCGAGAGAGCGTCTACCTCCTCCTCTCCGCGAAGCAAAGTACGCGTGGAAGATGAAAGCGCGCACCGCCGCGTCTTGACGATGTGGTGATGCACGCTTACGGTACCATCTTGCTGGTAATGCTAAAAACATAAAAGTTCCTCCGAGATGCCCGTAACCAATGGTAAGTGGCAGATATAAATAGCTTGCCGTTTGAACGTTTAGCTTGCTGTTGTAGGAGGAAAGCTCCTTAAGCCATGGGTCGAGCATCCGCGATGTATGTAGTTGTAGCAGTAATGCGTCATAGTAGCAGGTAGCCACCTCTACAGCCGGACTAGTAAAGCGGCATGAGCGCACTTACTTGAATTGAGGAGGAAACCAACGCACGTTAATTATAAAGAAGAGTGTTGGCTCTGATGAAATAACCCACAGAGACGAGTATCGGTGACCTAATGTTCAACAACACTTGCCCTAAATTTGATGATTACTGAGAAAAACTAATATCAGAAGGCCGCACTTTGATCACTATACGACCAGAAATGGTTGCCACGTTAAACTCGCTACGCGTAAGTTCTTTGGTCTTAACAAGCACTGGCCATAAATTTACTCGTCGAGGCTCAGGGGACTGCTTCGTGCCCTTCTATAGTAGAGTACCAAATAATCTGAATTGTTCATCACTTTTTCTAAACACACAGGTGGACCGAGAGTTGGGCCACAGTGCCATGAATAAGAGGCAGTGAAACGTGGCAACTATACACAAAGCGCAGGCCGTAAGAAAGTGCGTGCATGCCGCTCTGCTAGTCCAGTCATGCCACCTGTTGTTTAGTCCTTGGAATGTCCGCTGAATGGCGGTGCTTCTATACGATGAATATATAATGGGAAAATGTGACATTGGGGTACTTGGAGTGTTCACTATATGGCCAGACGAATGGAGAGACACGCGGATGGAGACAGACATGCACAGACGAACGGGCATGAACGGGTGCCTGGAGGGACGGACGGATGGACGGATGAACGCACGGACGGATGGATGAACGCAAGAATGAACAGACGGAAACACGGACGGGCCGATGGATGCTTCGCTCCACACGTAATCATGCACTCCGTGAATATGCAGCATTTTTTTTCGCGAGCTAAAGGATGCAGCATCTTTCCTGCATCAAAGCTTGTCCACATACTACAAGTATTGCATTGCTCTCGCGTACATATCTAGACTTTTCAAAAATATTTGGAGTTCTTCATGGGAAGCCATGCTAAGAGAACGTTTTTCTTCCCCTCTTCCCCTTGAGAAGGGGAGGTTTAGTCTTGTGCATTTGTTTGTACGATAACTGGTGATGCGATTTTTTTTACCTTAATGAAGTGTCACCCTTTTCTTTTGGCTGTTATCCAAACTCTACTTGTTTACCTCCTCATTTTTTTGTCATTACAAAAGTGGCTGGAAAGTCACAATTTTGTGGTTTCTTGAAAAAGATTATTGAAGTCGTGCAGTTTTGGAAAGCCAAATTCACTTCATAATATATACCTAGTGTATACAAAACGACACTCACTGCAGCCTGCACTTGTCTGCCCCCTTTTTCCTGAACTTGTTTACCGACAGGAACATTTACCTCGAACCGTGCATTTGTCTCGAACCATGTGCATAAATTGTGTATATCGCCAGCAGCGAAAACGATTTTCTTTAAGGTACAGATTTCCACATTACCTACAAAGATGTGCCTTCATGCAAAAAGTATATAGGTGCCCTTGTCTACGAAATGCGGACTGTGCAACAAGCCTGGAACAATCGAGCATTGTTCTATCATTGCTGTGATGCGTGTCTTTTCTTGAATATTCTGAAGAGAACCATAAAAAAAGGAGAATTACCTATTACAGCTGATCGTGTTAGGTTTTTACCGTTAAAAAAGACCTGTTACAATATTGCGCTATTCGCCACTGATATGAACATGACAGGGCGCTGCGGAGTTACAGCACGGCGGATTCATGGAGGTCACCGCGTCTACTATCGCTAACACAAATATTGAGTTTTCTGCAGTGTGATTGCAGTTCGCGCTGCTTTGTAGAAAGGGAGTGGGTTGTTGATGCGGAACATCTTATTTTAGTGGGCACCAGTGGTCACGCAAGCGCAAGTGGCGTTCTTGAAGTGGCCGCGTTGTATGTGTGATGCATATGGCACACCGCGTCTCTGCAAAATTTGTTTACATACTTGGGACACCGCAGCGACATGCAGTCACAGAATACAATGGTCATTTCATAGGTTCTAATTAACAAGTTAACACTGGTGCTTAACCTGTAAAGAAGAAGTCTGCTTGGCTGTGCGTTTTTTTCTTCTTCACGAGCAGCACTATTTTATCATGCTCCAACCGTATAGGCCCCCGACAGTGGACCAGATCGCGTGACAAAGCTCTTTAGGCCGCCTCAGCAGTGTTGGTACCGACAGCTAGGGATACTAAAAAAATGGAACGCTCGCTGAACACAGTGACACACTGAAGTGTCAGTGCTCTTTTCGGCACGTTTTCAAAGAACGCTTCCTGGACGCTAACATATTCAGCCGTGACCCCCTTGCTCACAACTAACAAAGAAAATTATATGCACGTGCAAGTTTGGTTTAATGCGTCTACTCGCTAGGCTGTGTTCTGGCGCTACGCTCAGATCTTGTAAACTGCATTGCTGGGTGCCTATTCACCTTTTCATAAACGCCTCTCTGGGCACCACTGTAGCCCTCCTTGGGCTGTGCAAATTGGCGCGTCCCCTCGAAAATGCACTGGCAACGTGGCGCCCTTAGCCTTTGTACTCCCGTGCACAGCCCACCATGGCGGTGTTTTTCTCCTTCCTGTGAAAAGGTGGGTACGACTGGCGGTTGGACAGTTCGGACCTCAGTACACAGTTTCTCTATATTCCCGCTGGGTGCCGCATTATTTGCTGAAGTCATTAATACGATTTAAGTATGTTATTGGGCCTTTATTGATTATGAAGGAGCCGCGTGGTTGACAAAAATGCTGAGCTACCTCGCTCGGCAAAGTCTGTTTTCTGAGAATAGGCAGCCAGTGAGCAAAGTGTTGCACAGACTTTCGACCCTGTTCCGGAGTGCCTTGGACTTCTGGACATGTGTGTTTCTTTACCAGACTTTTGAAGGTTCGTTGCACTGTATGAATTGTGTCTTCTGCATTTGTGCACGTGACCATAATTAGGATATGATTGATTGTATATTTATATATCGTATCATTTATTTGCATTATTTATATGCACAAAAGAAAAAAAAGTGCCCGTCGGTGGCTCTGTGGTTAATGCCTGGGACTGCCGTTTCAGAGGTCCCAAATTCGATTTAGCGCGCCTGAGTCACTTTATGGATTTTTATATTTTTTGCGTTTTCATATATACATACGTATAAATATGCGGTGAGTGACGGGGACGCCCACGTCGACGCTGACGCGGGTGCCGGGGGCAAAATATAGCCGAGAGTTGTCCATACAATTGCTATCGCATTGAAACTGAACCCAGGCAGACAAGACGATGCTTGTCACCTGAAGACTGCACTCATTTGGGCTAGACCTTTAGGCAACATTTACAACCATACCGTAATATTTAGCTTATAAGCCAACCTTCAATATAACCCACATTGCCAAAGGCTTACTGCACAAAAACACAAAAATTAAAAAAATTGTCCGCGTACAGCCGCGAAAGAGTCTTTTCTTACTATATCTTCATTATTATTTTGTTACGAGCATACACGCTTCACTGCTTGTATAGTTTTTATCGGTTTTATATATTTGTATTCTACACATAACGTATAATTTTTGCTATAGCTCAGATTAGGCGCTAGTGCGTGTAAATAAATGACATCCATACCGCATGACGAGCGAACTGACTAAGCCTAACGCAATCAACTAGGTTATGTCGGAAGATCAACTGGTTGCGTGTGCACTCTATTCGAAACAACTCCCGCCACCTTGACCATGGATAGAAAGGAAAAATTTCTGTCTGAAATACAGATACATTTCACTTTAATTCGCAACTGAGGGCAAAACTGGGGACCACTGCTAACCGCGTTTCAAAGAGTACATTGAACGGAGAGATCGCTATAGTGGGTGCGTCAGGAATCAGCGTTTTTTTCTATTTTGTTCCTTGTCATCGGGCGGAAAGATATTTAAAACGGAAGAGACTGTGTACACCGGCAACATACAATCATTATTATAAGAAAGAACGAGAGAGCCTTGCGGTTGGTCACTCTTTTTTACAGGCATAACGAGCACATTACTTACCGCCACTTCGTGGTATCGAAGTATTATAGATTGCACGTCACGCATGGACGTTCATTAGTTCGGCTGGTATTATTCGAACAATGTATTCCTTCTGCTATCTTCAAATCATTCGGTGCTAATTGTGTTTCTCGGTTTCTTACTTGGTATAACAGAGCCGCCTGGCCATATGGTAGAACATTAGTACGATCACGTTTACTAATAGTCATACCACGATCTGCATCTTGGCGTTACTCCAGTTTAGAATACCTTGTTCATTATGCGCCCCATAAACGCGTGGATGATGCATTACTTTAGGACGAATTGTGAATTGTTTTCAAGAAGACATTACACAGACATAAAATGAAGGCGATGTAACTACGCTGGCTGCGTAATTGAAGCCTAGCTTTAGTGACTACTGTAATACCAATTTGAACAAACACGTGTCAAGGTGATGAGAAGATATCGGAGTGCGAGGCTACACATATCATAGGAATGCACCAAACAATGCGGAAAGACACTCAACTCAATGGGTAGCTTGCTCATTGTTCGAATTGGAAGGTTGTACCCTGCAGAGCTGTGCACATCAAAACAAAGAACGTGGTGAGACACTAGAGAGTTTTAGTACTGCGGAATGGTTCTACGTACGCATCACGCAAGCGCCTTGCGTTACGTGGCGTCGTTTGCCACTAATCGGCTTTTAGTACGCCGTAGTTGCCGCGTACGTAACGAGCGCAAAGCGTGTTGCGTCATCTGGTAGAACAAAATAGAAGCACGTGTTGTTGACAGCCAATGTGAGCCAATCCAAGTGTTATAGCCAGATTATGGCCATATTTTAAGCCACAGAGCCGGTCGGTGCTTGGCTTCAATGCCGCCATTTTGCAAAACGAAGTCTCGCGCTGTCGCGAACTTGTTCGAGAGCGGCGCGATCACCTCATACGTACGCACGCACGCATCTCATGCGTGCGTACGTAGCGGCTGCGTACGTAACGCGATACGTGCGCGTCGCGGTCTGCGCATGCGCACTACGCAGAACGTGGCGTCCTTACGTACGCAACGCCGCCACGTACGCAGCGTACGCGGTACTAAAACTCTCTACTATCTGACAGGGGAATCTAGTTGGTCACAACCATACTGAAAAAAAAAAATATACAGAAGAAAGTTTAAAATTTAGGAGTAATTTCTATGTGGGGAAACTGGAACAAGTGAAGCTAGGTGCGTGTGAGCCGCTTGTACTGTTTTTTTTTATTTTCTTTTTTTTCAATTGCATCACGCAATGCTCCCTCCGAGCTGCTTCCAACATTTATGCCAGCAAGGGGACTATTGTAGATGCGCTTAGCAGTACGACCCGTCATCTGCCACTCGTAACAACGACGGTGATGCGTTTGTATCCAGGCAACAATCGACCGCAGTAACATGAAATCACAAGCAGTCATGACAACCTTTAAGAAATATTGAATTGTTATAGTAGAAATAGTTGCTCCTCGACAAACTCGTTATTGTGAGAGCATGAATCATTCTAAAAAGACGCATGCAAATTACATAAGTCATAAATTTGTCGAACCCTCCTGAATACTTACAAGAAATCGTCGAATGGCTTGATATCATCGAATGGCTTGTCGATATGGCAGATGCCATCCATAATTCAGTAAAACTGGGGTGATGAATAGGCACAATAATCAGATCACGTGCAAAAAAAATAAGGAATCCAAGATTGTCCGCTTGGAAAATAACTTCGTAAGTGTAGCTTCTTTGGCGCTGAGGCACAAAGAAATGATGTATTGCAACCCGTAAGGCAAGATGTGTGATAGGTGCGTGTTACGTCGGCATGAATGGTCATTTTAAACCTGTATTTAACTGGTGTAAAACCTGGTTAATGGAAGTAAACGCTACAAAATATAAAGTCTTACGCTTTAACCGCACATCTTCTTCCTTCATCGTGCACTACTTATCTGCTTGACAACTCCACTCTTGAACCCGTAATATCCTATCGCTACCTAGGTGTTCACATAACTAACACTCTCACCTGGTCTGTTCGCATAACAAAAATCATTAGTAACCCTAACCGTTCGTTAGGTTATCACCCACGCAACTTTTCTTCTGCCCCTGTCCCTTTAAAGCCCCTCCTTCACAAAACCTTAATACGAAGTAGACAGAATATGCCACAGCCGTTTGGGAGACATCCAGTAGTGTACTAACCTCTGCTCTTGGGCTAATTCAGAATAATTCTGTCTGCTTTATCCTTGGCAAATACAGTCACCCCGCAAGTATTACCTCAATGAAAAACTCCTTATAGCTTCCGTCACACGCCTGTCGCCGTAAATTCTCCTGCATATGTCTCTTGAACAAAATATATTACAGTCACATTCTGCACGATAACCTCATTCTCCCTTGATCATACATCTCCTTTCGATCTGACCATCGCCAAAAGATAGGAATCTTGCGATGTTCAACTCGCACATGTTATGAGTAATTCATTTCCCGAACCTCACAAGACTCGAAATCTTTCGGAATGAATCACGTCCATTGTCCATCATTCTAAATATCTTGATGTTTTAAACTCAAGCGTACTGCAATGCAACTAACCAATCATGTTATTCTTGTATCGGCAAACTGTCTGATTCTTGTTTGGTTAGTTAAATCTTCTACTGTAACTTGTTTTTACTATGCTTATATTCTTTCTCATCGACCGTCCGATTCTCGCCTGTGAGCTAAACTGTTTGATAAACAAGTGTTTCAGCCTAAGGCCCCTACACTTCACCCATATAAACAAATTCGTGCGACTGCACCTTTCCCAGTTAGACCCCCCACACAAATATTGCAAACACTCGATGTAATTTTTGAAAACTGACCCGGGAACAGTACAGCACTTGCATCACGTAATACAACTTAGACACAAAAAACCAGTTGCATGAAGTAGCCCTAGCAAACATGGACAGATAAGTTTTAATCCACCTATTCGCTTTCCCTTTCATTTTTTTTGTTTGCTGTGTCCAATGTTCCTCAGCACTTTTGTATGACTTGAGCGGAACTCCTAGATATTTACCTGGCGTTTTTGTCCATTTAATGGCTGCGAAATATTCTGGCGTTGAAGGCCAATATCAATGCCAAAAGCCGAAGCATTTACCCCAGTTTAAGTGGCTTCCTGTAACATCGGCGAATGATTTAGAAACTCTGATTGATTCTTCAATACCTTCGTAGGAAGTGCTACAAATGGCAGCATCATCAGCGTATGCGAATAGTTTGACCTCTAAGGATTGTACTCTAAACCTACTAAAGATGTCGTTCTGCAATATTCCCCAACATAATGTTTCACTGCAGATGCAAAACAACAGTGGAATAACAGGGCAACCTTGACGCACAGCTCGCTGAATCCTAATGAGTGGGGAGGGGGGCAATGTCTTGTTGATAATTAGGCTTGTACTACCATTTCTATATGCCATGGCTACACCATCCACAATTATCTTACCCACATTATTGCGCTCTGATACTGCAAACGAAAGGGCGTTGGCAACGCGATCAAATGCTTTCTTCAGATCCAGCTGGAGTATGGCCACACAAGCTTGACTGATGTCAACACATTCGAGCACGGACCACATTTCATGAACATTTGTTACCATGAAACGACCTCTGATTCCACACGTTTGGTGTGGACTGACGATATATTTTATTACTAGCTGACGTCTCACCACCAAAATTTTCATTATTTTTTGTAGTCTCCGTTTGTTAGTGCGATTGGCCTGTATGCTATGACGTGCCTGAGATTTTCAACTTCATCTCTCTTCGGAATCAGAATGCTACGTGATTCGCCATAGGACAGTGGTAATTTCTTTTCCTCACATGCGTTGTTGAAAACACCTGAAAGTATAGGAGACAATTCAATTTTACAACACTTGTACCACTTGGCACAAAGACCATCTGGTCTCGGAGATTTGGCGGGATTTAACTTATCAATCGCCCGTTCAAATTCAGATGCAGGTATAAATAATTCCATACCGCTTTTTCCTTCCTCACAGCCTTGTGGCACGCGTCCGAAAGATTCTGCTTTACATCTTTCTAGGTTTACCTGCCTACACGAGGAAAAATGGCAGATCCCACGCAAGTGGGAATCGATGATATGCGAATCACGAATGAGAAATGTTGATACGTCACTTTAAAATCAGCACAACGTTACGATGTAGAGGTAAATTATTTTGTACATGACTTCTGTGTCATGATCATCATGTTTGTATGTGTCGTACACCTTCGCCATTTTACATCCCATGATACCAAATTTAGTATATGTGGACGTAGCGAAACGGCCACGAGCACGCTATGAGCGTGGTACGTTGCCATGTTCTTACATGACACGCATGTGAGGATTGTCATGTTTGCACCAGTCGTATATTTTGTCATTCATTCACGCAACACGTAACACCAAATTTGGTATTTTTGGAGCTAGAAAAACGGCCGCGAGCGCATCATGAAGGACCCAGTGTATTTCAATGTAGCGTTGACGCAGGCGCACGCTAGGAACAGCTACGCTACGTTAGCGAAACGGGAGCACTCTATAGTCTGACGCCAGTCACGACCAGCGTCAGTCGGCGCGGCCCGATGGCAACCGGCGAGAAATGCAATATGCTACATTTCGCGCCGATGCGTTACCAAGACAACACTGCATCTCTCTCTCTCTCTCTTTTCATGACGGAGGGACGCCGGATGCACTGAAACGCGCATGCGTCAAAGCAACGCAGCGCGGCACGAGCCTGCGAGTATATGGCAGGACCGGCACCTGGCGTGACAACGCCAGCGTGACGCAACAAAATGAACGCCGGCGAGCACGCACACCGCATTAGGTCGAAATGTATTGGCGCCTTGACTGTGGCATGTACCCATGTTCGCACATGACACGCCTCTCATGATTATCATGTTTGAACCAATCACTTACTTCATCATGCATTGGCGTCACGTAATACCAAATTTGGCATATGTGAAGCTATCAAACGACCGCCAGTGCATCATGAGCGCGGCATGTAGTTTTGTTACATGGCACGCGTCTCATGATATTCATGTTAGGGTCTGTCACTTGTGTTCTCCATGCAATCATGTCATACCGTACCAGTTTTGTATCATCCCATGTAAATGAAACCACCGCAAGAGCTGCAAGACCATGCAATGTAAATCATGACATTCATGACATATA